AAAAAAAAAAAAAAAAAAAAAAAAAAAAAATTGAACTACCACCGAGTGGTTTATTACACGAAGGGTGAGTGCGGGTATCATTGCCTCAGACTAGGAAACTTCAACAAAATACATCATTTAAGTCCCTAATTTCCCAGGACAAGACAGAACATGGATAATGGATACTGACAACATCTGATCCAGGAGAGGGATATAAGACAACAAAAGGTGGAGTAAAAGAGATTTTACTTTCCGTTACAATAAGTAACTAAAGTTATATCCCATCTCACTAAAAATAAAACACTAGCAAGCTCATACAAAATTGCTTGATCAGCAAAAATGTGAACTGATGAAGCACATAAGACTCCAATAAATGGATCTAGCAAAAGCCGAATCATAACCATCGAACAATTAAGCAAACTTGAAGAACCAGTTTCTAATTACATCTCCATTCGCAATGTAAACAACAATAAATTACGAGAAATAAAAGAAAAGTAAGGAAAAAAAACCTTGTTCAGAGCGAACATCAAGGAATGCGCGGGAATGCGGCAGGTGATTCCTCGCTTCATCAGCGGAGGCAGCGGTATGGGCGGAGTGCTTGAAGTCGTGCAGAAGCTCCGCCGTTGATCTGGAAGCAACGGAGCAGGAGCAGGCGAGGTTGGGAGGTTGGAAGTGGGGAGAAAGGGGGAGGAGATTGAGAGAAGAGGAGGAGGGAGGAGGGAGAGAAACCCTAGAGGAAGAGAGAGAGAGAGGAGAAGGTAAGGAAGAAGAAGAAGAGAGGATAAACATAGTAAGGGGGGTGGGGAAATGGGAGATGTGATGAAGCGTAGGAGAAGAAGTCGGACGTAATGATCCAGAGGCGTTTTTAAAGAGAATCGGAGGATTTTGGAATTAGGAATTAAAACCCCCTTTTTTTTTTTTTAATGTTTTTTCCCTTGTGTCCGACACGTGCTTTAAAACGACGTCGGATGGTTAGGAGAATTGGGAGTGAAGAGAATGGCTGTGGTCCCACCAGGAAGTTTTCTTTTTCTTTTTCTTTTTTCTTTTTTCTTTAATTTTTTTGCCCGTGTGTCTGACACGTGCTTCAAAACGACATCGGATGGATGGTTAGGGGACTGGGAGAGAAGAAGAGAATGCTGTGGTCCCACCAGGAAATTTTCTTTTTTTTTTTCTTTTAATTTTTTTGCTCGTGTGTCTGACACGTGTTTTAAAACGACGTCGGATGGTTAGGAGTCAAGAGAATGGCTGTGGTCCCACCAGGAAATTTTCTTTTTCTTTTTCTTTTTTCTTTTTTTCTTTAATTTTTTTGCCCGTCTGTCTGACACGTGCTTCAAAACGACGTCGGATGGTTAGGGGAACTGGGAGAGAAGAAGAGAATGGCGGTGGGGTCCCACCAGGTTTTTTTCTTTTTTTTTCCGTGTGTCCGGCCCGTGCTTCAAAACGACGTCGGATTGTTAGGGGAATTGGGAGAGAAGAAGAGAATGCTGTGGTCCCACCAGGAAATTTTCTTTTTTTTTTCTTTAATTTTTTTGTTCGTGTGTCTGACACGTGCTTTAAAACGGCGTCGGATGGTTAGGGGAATTGGGAGAGAAGAAGAAGAGAATGGCGGTGGTCCAACGGGAAATTATCTTTTTTTTCTTCTTTCATTCTCCATATTTTAAAAACTTAAAAGACAAATTTTAAAAAATATATATATATATATATATATGTATATATATATATATATAGTTATTAAATATTTTTTTTATTTTTAAAATCTAAATATTTTTTAAAAAATTGGAAGAAAATAAATATAAATTTAAAAAATACAAAACTAAAAATGAAATTATTATTGATTTTTTGTTTTAAGTTTATAAATATTGTTTCAACAATTTTTTATCTTTTTCCCGACTTTTTGAAATTAATTACCAATTTTGGAATCTTAAAATAGTTTTGAAAATTTTATTTTTATTTTATAATTTGATTGAGAATTAAAATATTTTTATTAAAAATAAAAAATATATATTTTAAAAAGGTGATATAAAAAAATAGAATCAAGATTTTAAATTTTCTTTTTTTTTTAGTTTTTAAATTTGATATTCTTTTTAAAACATTTTTAGATATAGGCCTAAATAGTTAATTTTTAATTATATGTCTGTTTTGTTTAAATAATTTTAAAAACATTAATTTATTTAATAAGTTATTACTTTGATATTTTACAAATTTACAAATATATTAAATAAAAATTTCAAATCTAAATCTAATAAAATTTTAAATTTAAATATTGTATTTAACAAATTATGAATATTAAAATAACGTCTAATGAAACAATATTTATTATATACAAAATTTAAAATGTTTTTTTTATTAATTTAAAGATTTATAATGATCTTAAATAAATACGTAAATAAATAAAATTGACCCTGCTATTCTTTATTGTCTATTATTTATAATAGTATGGATTGTCGTTTTCGTTAGGTTTCTTTTGAAGCGGATACTTGAATGCAAGCACGATCAATAATAATATATTTTATGGGGCACACAATTGATTCTTTTGTTATTTGAGGTGTTAATTTGCTTACAATGTCCTGTATCCACCCATGACCCGAGCATCACAATTCCATTTTTTGTTTAAATTAGAGATTGAGCGGGCTTCTAGATGTAGTATTTCATCAATTATTCTTTTAGGTTCGTGGGTTGTCACGTGAGTTTGAATTTCATATCCCCGTATGCCTTTTTTCTCGATCCATACCGTGTATAGGTAGTCTTAAATTAGTTTCTTTTGAAATGGATACATGAATGCTAAGTATGGCTCGTAATTATCTATCTTTCGTAGCGTACGGTGATTATTTTGTCATTTAAGATGTTAATTTACCTACTGAAATGTCACTCATCGACCCACGACCTGGTCATCACAATTCCATTTTTGTCTAAATTATGGAGTAAGCGGGCTTCTAGATGTAGTATTTCATTAGTGATTCTTTTAGCTCTACGACTTGTCACATGAGTTCGTTCTATATTTCTCGACCCATCTCACATCAATAACTCAATCTCTAATACCTATGGATAGATTCAGGTATGGCTCGTAATAATCATTCTTCTGGGTGATAAGATGATTCTTTCACTACTAAAATATCGCTCGTCTCCACCCACGATCCCAATATCACAATTTCATTTTTATCTCATTTATGGGAAAAGTGAGCTTCGGAGACGTGGAAAGTGAGCTTCTAGACGTGGCATTCTATTAGTGATTCTTTCAAGTTGGTAGCTTGTCACATAGATAAATAGGATTCTATCCTCTCGTTTAGTCTGATTTGTGACATAAATTTTCTCAAACCTTTGTACCAAATGATGCTACATCGTAACAACTCAAATTCACCACTATAAGATATTGTCCGTTTTGACCCGTTCCATTTAGCTGTCAGCTTCATGGTTTTAAAACACGTATTTTAGGGAGAGGTTTTCACACCCTTCTAAGGATTGCTTCGTTCCCCTCTCCAACTGATGCGAGATCTCACAATCCACCCCTTTGGGGGCCTAGTGTCCTCGCTGACACACCGCCCAATGTTTAGATCTTATACCATTTGTAACAGTTCAAGCCCACAACAAGTAGATATTGTCTGTTTTGGCCTCATGGTTTTAAAACGCGTCTTCTAGGGAGAGATTTCCATACATGAATGCTTCATTTTCCTCCCCAACCGATGTGAGATCTCACAATCTACCCCCTTTGGGCCCCTAGCGTCTCGCTGACATACCGTCCGATGTCTGATTCTAATATCATTTGTAACAACCCAAGTTTACCGCTAGTAAATATTGTCTGCTTTAACCCGTTACATTTCGCCGTCAATCTCACAGTTTTAAAACGCGTCTTTTAGGAGAAGTTTTCACACCCTTATAAGGAATGGTTCGTTTCCCTCTCCAACTGATATGAGATCTCACATACAGTGAGCCTAGTTTAACGATATTTGACACATATTTTTCTTTCGAGTTCAAAGATTCAAATCTTCATACCCACTTATCGTACAGAAAAGATAAACCCTAGCTAATCGAGCCCGAACAACCTTAGCCCGTATTGCCCCATTTAAACCAAACTTGGTCGCCAAGTTTTGGTGTTACAAAATGAAAGAAAAAAACATGGTGAACGTGGTTTGGTGTGCCCCTTTGGTTTCCTCTCAAGAAGAAAGACGTGAAAGAGACAGAGTTTTGGTGTGGGCTACACCTTTGCATGTGAGTGTGCTTTTCCTCCATTGAAGAGCTTGACAAGAACCATTTGTGAGTTGTCATTCAAAAGAACTTGACCTAATCTACATTAGATTAATTAGTGTAAACTCGGGTGTCATCTCTTCTCATTACTCTTTTATTACTAAACGGTCGTTTAGGGTTCTTAGCAGGCGATCTACGTTATTTCCCTCTCGATGATGAAGTTTGTCCCTCATTTCTCACAAACCAACCTTGAACCCTGTTACTTTGATATCATATCTAATATTGCAAGTTTGATTCAATTTGATACTGTTCTCGCGTCGAGCGTAGGTTCTTGTTCTACGATACGCAGCAAACTGCATGTAGAGATTCGTAGGGGCTTATAGTTTGATTGGTTGAAACGTAATACTCATTATGATCGTTCTTATCACGTATAAATTTTAAGGGTCAATAGTATATGGATAATGTTAGGTACCTTATCCTAATAACACGGTTGAAATTGACCACTTTGTAATTATTACAAATGATTTTATCCAAACCGTTTATGTGAAAACATATGAGTGAGATATTTTATAATAATGAGTTTGTATGAGAGTAGACCATAAAATATTAATCTCTCGTTGTAAATTTGTTAATTGAGAAGATTAATATTTCAGAGGATGATCATATGCTACTTGATCTTAATTGGTGAGTTATGAACTTTTGAGGACTTATCCTTTAATTTGTATGGCTGATAATATTTTTTTTTTGTATCGGATTCAATATACTTACCATTTTAGAAAAATTAACCAAATAGAGAGTTGAGAACATAATTTTACGAGATGTAATTCACTCATTCTCGTATATGGTAGGTATATGTGTAGTTAAGTGACGATTTCATAACTTAATAATAGGGCTACACTCTCTCACTAGCTCGTGAGGGACTTGATTTATAATTTGATCATAAAAAATTGTTATTACAAAATTAGTGATATTTAAGGCCAAAGATAGGGGTGTACATGGGGTTCGGGTTCGGAGATTTTTTTGACCTAATCCAAAAGTTCGAGTTGGTTGGATTGGTAACCCAACCCAACCCGAAACTTTTCACAACCCAACTTAACCCAACCCTCTATTTTCAGGTTGGGTCATGCAAATTTTTTTAAAGTTTTATTTATCCACAATTTATAATGATTGGGATACAATATTAGATAAAATATATTAAAAATTCACAACAAACACAAATTAATCTATAATTATTGACCAAATATATATAATAATAATAATAATAAATAAATAAATAAATTCAATAAAAAACAAAAAAAAATCGCAACATATTAATATAGTTCAATATTGTCATTAACACAACTAAATATACTTATATTTCTTGAGAATTGATTAGAGTAAAAAAATAATAATAATAATAAACAATAAAATGATTAATTTAAAGGTATTGTATATAATAAAAAGGAAAAAATATATAAAAATATTTTAATTGAAATATAAAAATTCTTGAAAACTGGTGTGAACGTTTTTAGATTGGCCTCAATACCACACTAGCAAACTTAATACAAAGGAATTCTTAATATATTTTCTATATTTTTATTTTGCTCGGTCAACCCGAAGGTTTTGCTCACGAACCCGAGACTGAACCAATTTAGTTCGGGTTCAGAAAAAATGAACCCAACCCTACCCGAAATGCTT